GAGGTGGAGCCGAAAATAAGCTTAGGTGCCTGATTCCATGCAAAGTGCGTCTGCATAGCAAGCGAGATAGCCTTTGCACACACTCACACGCGCACACACATTATATGTAGTGATTTTCTATGAGTAGCTTATATGTGGTACAAGGCCGAAATATAGTGAGGATCGAACTCATTAACTTAGCAAAAGAAAAGGCAAGCTGTAATCGTTATCTTTAAGGCGAAGCATAATGATTTAGTGATTGTTCGCTTCCTAAAAGTTAAACAGTCTTCAAATTTTGGAAAGTGCTGGAAGTCGTTGACGGGGATTTTACAACAGTAGGCGAATGAAAAACAACTGCTAAGGTTTCTAATACCATAAAAACAATTAAATTTGTACGAAAGGTTTAGGAATTTGCCTATACGAAGCCCAAAAAGTAAAAGTTTGATGTTTCTTTGCGCCTTTTGCTAAGGAGCTCAAGGTTTAACAGCATTGCTAAGTAACTCAAGGTTTCAAGGCAGACTATCGGATGAACTGTGCATGAGGACCTTCATTGGAAATAATATGTGAATGGGGAGAGGCCGATTCAAGGCGGCAAAGATAACAGTCTGATCCGCGCAAAGTGCTTGCCGAACAAGTTGAAACATCAAAAGCGTGGAAAGGTTTTTCTCTGATAAAAAAAAAATAATCTAGAGATCAAAAGAGAGAATCACGGATAGTTATGCAGAGAACGAAATATAGTGTTATGCTCTATCCTTTCTCACCGCCCACTTCCTTTTTTTTTTTTTTTTTTTTTTTTTTGTTCTGTGAGTGTTAAATTATCCGAGCCGGCTTTTCTCGTTATGCGCCCTAAGAATTTCAACTGTATTTTTCTGGTGTTAAATATATGCCCTTCTCTTTCCCATTTTGAAATCGGATAGATTAAAACAAAATTTTCAAAATTTCCAGCATCCTTCGTCTGTGCGCATGTGTAGTCGCACCAACAAAACAAATTTAGACCGGCGATAGTCACTTAAAAAACTTTTTTCCACTTTGTCATACATTTTTCTCCAATATTATTCATGATATATGAAAAGATATATCGTTATTTCACACACACACACACACACACACACACACACATATATATATATATATATATATATATATATATATATATATATATATATACAGGTAGTAATCAATTGAAAAAATCCAAGCGAGTCCTATTAACACAATATAGAATTTGAAATATTAAATGTTAAAACTGACTCACACAAAGAGCGCTAAATGTTTATTCTCATTAAACAGAGCAAATTTTTTTCTTACAATTGGAATTAAGATACCAATAGCTGACGCTCTCTCTCTCTCTCTCTCTCTCTCTATCTCTCTCTTTTTTCTCCCCCAACTAACCAGTCCCCTTCTACAAAGCGACACCATAAACAGTTTGAAAAATCGTGCGAATTTTAAATTTTAAATTCGCAGGTGAAATGATCATTAACTAATGGTATCTTAATTCCATTTTGAAAGGGAAAATGAAAATACAAACACACACACATACACACACACACATATATATATATATATGTGTGTGTGTGCATTTTGTTGTAAATGGAAATGTCCCACCTCCCTATTACCTATTGTAAAACTATGTCAGTAAATATATATAGCAGTCACAGGATATACCTGAAACTTGCTTCAGGAATTACTAGCCTGCTAACCGACTCCCTGTCTTTCAGTAGTGTATTCTCTTTTACAATAAACCTCTCTTTTTTTCATCTACGCCTGTGTTGCTGTTTCTTTCACTCAAGTGCCACCTTTGTCTGTTTGTAACCTCTTTAAGGTACACCAATATATATATATGAAATAACGATATATGTTTTTAATATTAATACTGGGGAAAAAGTATATCGTTATATATATATATATATATATATATATATATATATATATATATATATATATGTAAGCAAATATATGGATATAGATCCGACAGAATGAAGAAAAATATACGGAAAAACAAACAAAAATCCTAATATGTGCAATTATGCTGTTTTAATGTTAATATAATGTCAACGTCGGACGTTTCGGTCTAGGAGACCATCTTCAGGACATATTCATAAAACATAATTAACATTAGACTATATTTAATTCAATTCAACATAAGACTAATCAAAACAGACTATTTTCAAGATCAATTTTATAATATGATATTTTTATATATTTATGAATATATAAATGGTATTCTAAAAATATGATTTTATATGAAAATATAAAAGAATTAATATCATGTTAATTTTTTTATTTTTCCATATATTTTTTTGTTAATATATATATATATATTTATATCGAATGTTCATGCATACAGTTTCCGGCAACTGTGATAATTCTGGGAGTCGTGAGCAACGAGGGCGATGTCAAGCCTCCTCACTTCTTTCCTTAAGGTTTGCGGAGAGATCAATCACTGTCTGCAAAAACGAAAGCTAACCGTCTGATCACAGCAAATCACTTGTTGAGCATGGTCAAAGATAAAGACTCTACAATGCTTTTGCTTTGATGAGAAAATATTTTGATCAAGACCAAAAGGTAAACCCAAGAAATGACATAGAAACCCGAAGAACTTCCCAATGGTCATGCAAAGAATTTTTACGTGAACTCTGATGGTTCTGGGAATCGTGAGCAATGAGATATATGTCATACCTCCTCATTTCTTTCCTTAGGGGACAATACGGATGAATTAGATAGGTCTCGGGTGTATTGCATAGCGAGTGTGAGCAAAGGAAAGTCGTACGCATTCCAACAAGACACCAGACCGTTTCATGAGGTCAAAACGAGCCTAGAATGGATGTGCCGCAATCTACATGATCATATAACCAATAAGCCTCCAGTCTTGAATCCATTGGACTACTAAGCATAAGGCGTAGTCGAGAGGGGAAGTAAACCGATGTCAACATAGCACTATAAAAAGAACAAAAAAACCCTCTAAACTCCGCCATAACTTGCACAATGTCCAAAATAGATAAAGATCATCTGATTCGGACATGTCAGCACATTAAGATCTCGGAACTGATATTCTTACTGACTTCGTATTGTCAAACATGCTAAAAACAGACTCAGGAAGGCGTGATTTTTTTTCTCAAGAATATTTATGCCAATTCTTTTCTCAAATAAAGTTCTTCATTCATGATTTATACGTTTTTAACTAAATTCTTACAAAGGTCCTCAAAAGGTTGAACAAACATATATATATATATATATATATATATATATATATATATATATATATTATTGTTTAAAAATATGATTCCTTCGCTACATAAGAGTTCTCATGTTTCAAAAACGAGAGACGAAACCATCCAAATAATTATTAAAATTAAGTTGAATTGAGGTGTTGAAGTCCCGTTTCATCTTCAAGCGAAATTTTAGGAATGAGCTATCTCTTGGTTTACGTGTGTGTTTTAAGCATGGTTCGTTATAACATTCGTTATTGTTGGAGTGGCTAGGCGAGTCATCTTGGTTAAGTGGTCAGAGAGTTAATTCTTATATATAGATTCATCATCTTCTAAGAGGTTTGCTCAGGCCGGAAAATGTAATTAATACTGTTTATTATAAACAGTGCATTTACTTAAATAATTGTATTTATAAAATAACGTATAAACTAATACATATATATATGTGTATGTGTGTGTATTTTGTGTTTGTTCTGTGTGTGTGTTTGATCAAATAAATTACAAAATTATGTTTGAAAAATTTTATATAATCCGTTCATATTTAAACGGATATTTTTCCGTATATTAAAAACCATCCAATGCAAGAAATGCACTAAAATTAAGTGAAAATCATTATTAAATCATACATTTCTTGCATTATTTCAGTTTTGTAATACACAGAAAAAACAATGAATATGAACGGATTATCTAAAAATATGCAAACAAAATATTTGAAATTTAGCTAATCAGAACATGCCTAAAAGAGAATTTGCTGCCTGCAAATACACACACACACACACACACACACACACACACACATATATATATATATATATATATATATATATATATATATATATATATTTCAACATATTGTTAAATATAAAATACAATGAATGTCTATTATGTCTGATCATGAGCCGTTCTAATGTTCGTATTATTTTGTCCTTGATCTTTTTTTCGTCTCACGTCATCCATCTTCAGGGTGCTTATTCGGACATTTTAAGAAAGATATTCGCCATCGAAGATAATATTTTGTTATGTTGATATAGAAGAAAAAATGCGACGATAACGGTCGTGAAAACAGAGGCAGGTCAGTAAATTCAAGATACGGTTCTATGACGTCATACCAATTTAGAGGTCGAAATTTTTAATAAAAAGATTTATATATCTAGATGCAATATAAAAACAATTTTTCTGACTAGTTTGAAATGTAATTTTATTGAGCTTAGATCAAGGACCAACTTAATAAAAAAAAATATCCAAATGTTGGACAATTTTGACTTTACTTTCACCGGAAATTAAAGCAAACAGATGATAAATTATATAAAAACTCACTCTACAGCTTTCTGACCATAGGTCAATTAGATCTCATTTAAATATTCATGAAGACCTGCCGGACACTATTAGTAACATACTTGTTAGCAACACAAATATAATAGCATCATCTACATGCAAAAAAGGCTAAAAATAATGGCCGCCTTATTAATAAAAGAAAAAAAAAACAGCACTTAATAATATCAACTATGAACATGGACAAAATATCTTGACCGTGTTTTGAAAAATGAAAACATTATAAAAATCCATACATGCAACAAACTATTTCTTAGTTAATAGTTAAAATATTTCATCCTTGAAAATGGTTAAATGTATAGCCGAAAGTGCTCGGATTAAAAGAACATTCGGATAGTTTTTATATAATTTATTATCTGAAAAGAAAAAAAAAATTAGATCGCATGAGAAATTGTATAAAGGACTAAATCAAAGCACCTTGTTTGCCGTATTCAATGAAATGTGCATGAATGGATTGCTACCTAAATACACACACACACAAACACAGATAGATAGATAGATAGATAGATAGATAGATAGATAGATAGATAGATAGATAGATAGCCAAACGCCTGGATCCTAATACTATCAAAATAATCAAATTTGCATAAAGGTGCAGAAAATTATGGTTAAGAACTCCAGAAAGAACTCAAGTCGTCAAACGAAGAAATGCAGAGACCCTGGGGACATTCCATTGGTCATGATATACAAAATTTATAAATATGATGATTCTTTGTGTCGCGAGCAAATTAAAGATAATAAATGGATATTTGCCTCCTCACTTTTTTCCTCAGTGTTTAAGGCTCAATACAGCTGAGTATAAGTATATCCATAATCAGATCACCGTAAACATGTTACCTCCTAGCCATCCAGACAAGAACCCGTAGGACTAGTATGGTCGAGAGGGAAGTCAATCAAGAAAATAATCCGAACACAGAAAGAATAAATAAAATAAATAATGAACAAGGAACTTTTGTTGGAACTTAACCACAATGAAATATAGTAGCCGTTATATAAATGAAAATTCCACGCTGTTTTTATGACACAGATTTCTAGATTAAATTATGCACTCGGGTCGGAGTTGCGATCCATCTTGGACTCAAATTATGTGAGCATCACAGATGCAGATGTGGAGCTTCCATCGATGAGTTTGTTTTGCATCCTCTCTCCTGTCGTCGTAGTGCCGACCGCTTTCCACGGCATGCAGCAAAAACGACATCATCAAAAGAGGTTTTAAATTTGGTTTAAATCGAACCCGTAGCCCTCGACCGCGGTGATGGAAAGTGGCCGGAAAAATTACCATTTTCCGTTTATAAAATGGGGAAGTCGTTGATTTGGGATTGCGACCTGTGCGGATACATTTTCGGTCGGTAATTTGATCAGTTCTGCGGTTGAGCCAGGATCCGTCGCCCGGGACGCAGAGATAAAAAATAATAGTTAAATATTCTTCTTTCCTGATAGATTTTTTTTTTATTCCTGTGGCAGGGGTTAATTGGCCCTCGTTCGATGGCGTTCCTTGGGGGGATTGGCGCGATTGCGTCTCGAGTTTAAAATAAGCCTAGCGAAACGGGTTTTCTTGCAACGTGTCTCACTGGCGATGGTTTGATGTAATGTTTTCTCCATCATTGCGTCTAAGCAGAGGATAAAAAAAAAAAAATTGTTTATTATTACTTTGTTCAAACTTTTTTTCAATAAATTAATTTGTTGAATAAGAACATTATGAACGTAATTATCTTTGTTTATTTGGAATCATAAAGTAAAAAATTCATTTTTCAAATTTAAAAATTTGCTTCTTTTGCCAATTTTTATTAAATGTAAAAATAATTTTTGATAAGAGTTCTTAAACATCTTTAAAAAAAGCGGAAAATTTGAAAATATATATACGACGTCAGAAGATCGTGCGTTTGGAAACTCGATTTACCAAAAAAACAAACTTTTGTAATTTAACGTTGGTAGGTAGATCATTTTAATATGGTCTAAAGCAATGTAGGATTCGAGCATTTTAATTTGTATTTTAAAGTGTTGCTTTCAGGCCTTTTTCTCATAAATTTTTTCAGTATTGTTGGTATTATTCGTGACTGTATCTGGATGATATTTTTTTTTTTTATAAATTAAACATCAAACAATTTAAATTTTAAACGTTTATATTATATATATAGTTGTATATTTAGGCAGCAATCCTTCTTTTTTATGCATTTTTCATTAAAAATGTTCATTTAAAAGGAACTGTGTAGATTAATGATCAAACCAGACTCATAAATAATTACATCGCTTACACAACCAGTATATTATCAATACGTCTATTGAGTTAAACCTATCTGATCATTTGCTCCATTAGAACCCATTTGATAATGGCTAATAAAAATAGTATATTTTAAAAAATGGAATTTATAAAACATTTGGACAGTTCTTACACATCCTTTGTTAAAAAAAAGCTCTTTTGAAAAACATAAAAAAATAAAAAAATGTTTAACCGTAGTCTGTCAAAAAATGAAATATGCATATATATATATATATATATATATATATATATATATATATATATATATATATATATATGTGTATTTATTTAGCAATCCATTATTTATACATGTTTCATTAAAAACGACTGACAAATTACTAAAAAGTTAATTTTTTATTTAATTTACAAAAAACATTTCAAATATAATATTCTTTTTTCTTGACATAAATTAGGTAGAAAGTGACCGAATGTTCTGTATGTGTGATCGCTTTCAGTTTGCCATTATCAAGGATGATTTTATTTTTACTTTTAACTGAATGTATGTATTGTTTTATGTATGTATTTAGTGTTATAGAAATGTTTCATTTTCCAAACACGGTCAGCACATCGTGGTCGTGTTAATGAATGTTGGCCGTTTCTTTTTTATTGATAATGCTTCTATAATTATAGATATATAGACCAAAAACTGACGGATTTCGATATTTTAGCAATAATAATAATCATATATATATATATATATATATATCAGATGGCCTGAAGATTGTGTTTAAGCATTAAACAGAGTATCGCCACTTGGCATTGACCTCATATAACAAAGAACTAAATTTTGGTTATAAATTTAATACCCGTTTATTCAATTAAACAGTTAATGATATATTGCAGATGCTAAACACAGGCATATATTTGTGTCAGGGGCCGACAGAACAACTTAGAGACCCCCAATTTTAAAAGGAGCAAAATTGGTGAAACCGATCAGTTTTTGTGACCCTCGCTCTCTTTATCAACATTTTGCCTCCAATTTTCTATACATTTATATACATTAAAAAATTAAACGAAGCACAACTATTAATGGATGAAAGGACTTCACCGATTTTGACGTCGTTCTGGCTTCTTTTTTTTTGTCCAAATCAGTGAATTAGCTTCTTTTTTACTTTTTTTCTTTTTGTCCAAATCAGTGAATTAGCTTCTTTTTTTTTTATCTTTTTTCAAATCAGTGAATTAGCTTCTTTTTTTCATTTTTTTCTTTTTTTGCCATGCGTGTTACATGATCGCCTACGCGCAGTAGGTTGCCATTTCTTTTTGCGAATAGAAATGAAAATTTGCCAAAAGGCTACTAAATCCGGTCCGTCCTGCTAATTACCCATAGCTGGGGGAGTCAAGAGGATTAATACCTTTTCCAAAATTTATTAGCACGTAAGTGAATGTAACGGATTCGACTGGAATTCGAACTCAGTTCTCCGATTCCTCAATCCGTTATAATCCATTACTCCGTGCCTTGCTCATGTTAGTTTTTCAAAAAAACACTTTATAAAATTCACTGTTAAATTATTGGTGATTTTCCAAGCGTAATTTAGATGTGGCACAATTTACTTAAAGTATGGAATTTGAGTGAGGATCGAACTCACTACTTTTTTGAAATTGTTCTTGATTTTTTTTTTGAAAACCATTACACCATTTAAAAACAAAATGCCCTTCACTGTTTTTATCTATAACGTTTAATGTGTTTAAATTGTTCAAGTTATTAATAGGAAAAATCTCAAGTAGATGTTAAAAAATACCGCAAATCATTGTTGATTTATTTAAAATGGAATGATTTATTATGATACGTCTCCAAGTTGTATTTATATACATTGTATTTATCTCTTATTTTTCTAGTTGAATTGTTCACCTATATTGTATATGATCCATTATTGTACATAATTACGTTGCAAAAGAAGTTGTATTTTTATATGAATGCTACCTTATGCCAATTGAGATGTACTAGAGTAAGGAACCCTGTACCATAGATTTGGTCGATACACGAGATCCTTGCACCGGTACTGACTGCGGTCTATGCTGGGAGAATAGATAAGGTCTTAGTTATAGTATCTGGGAGAGAACGCATACTCTAGCGTGATCAATACGCGCAAAACCTCTACTTAGCGAAAGTAAATCTTTGAAATCTTTATATTATTCTTAAGAAGAAAAATGTGTAAAAATTATTTTTAAAATCCTTTTTTGAAGTTTCGTAAATTTTGCCTAAAAATTTCTTTATGCGGTGTCACGTTGTACCATAAATTAAAATGGGAAATTTTAGCGTCTATTTTATTTTCGGTGAATAACACACTAATTTAGAAATTCTTGCAAAAATCAGGACTTATTCACAAATAAATTAAATTATTTTGGTTTGGTTTGTGTTACGGCATATCAAACTCAATAGGTGATTTATTGCCAACAAGATTTTTATTGCTGGTAATATTTTTTTCAAAAATGTATTGCTGCTAATATTCTTTTTTCAAAAATGTATTGCTGCTAATATTTTTTTCAAGAATGTATTGCTGCTAATATTTATTTTTCAAAGATGTATTACTGGTAATATTTTTTTTCAAGAATGTATTGCTGCTAATATTTATTTTTCAAAAATGTATTGCTCGTAATTTTTTTTTTCAAAAATGTATTGCTGGTAATATTTGTTGTTCATGATGACGGTCGTCTTTGAGTAGAGAATCTAGAGGTTAGCAGTGAATATTTCGAAGACAGTAGGGAAGTGTAGTTCAGGTTAGCAGTGGATATTTCGGTAAAGTAGCAGAGCGTAGTTCGTCCTTCTGTTCCTCTTCGCCTGACAAGCTGGCACTGGACATTCGGATAGAGTAAACAAAATTTTTATTTTTATACACGACGGATTGAATATTCTACGTCTTCTGATTGGTTAACCTTCTATTGGTGGACTATAAAGTGAGTCAAGTCATTTGGGTTAGCTCACTAGTTAATATATATATATATAATATTATGCAATATATATATATATATATATTTATATATATATACACAAAAATGGATAAATATTTTTTTTCAAAAATTGCATTGCTGGTAATAATGTATTGAAATATTTTTTTCTTCAAAAATCATTGCAGGTAATATTTTTTTTTACAAAATTTAAAAAGTATTAAAACCTATTTTTACACTTTCAGTGTTTTGACCACAGTTTGGGTGTTAACTATTTCCCCATAGTTTGCACCCTATCTGGTTTAGAAAACCAGGTCCAGGTCAGGTTAAACCTGGGAAACCAGCAAATTAGCTGCATTGATTAACGCTCCTCAAAACCTCATGATCAATATGCCTTACTGTTAAAAGTTTA